GTGTTTTGAAGGGTGAATGTACGAAAGGGAGAAATGGTTCTTTCTCCCTTGAAGTAGTATGACACACATGAAGTTTCTAGTTATGTAAGATATATATATAAAAGTATAAAAATGATAGTACATTTGCAACTCCCAACACAAAGCAGAAAAAGTGATTCACTCTCTATAGTATTTAAATACTTTCTACTCAGTAAACAACTGAAGGAGCTTAAAAGAACTTCAATACATGAGAAACAAACACTTCTGTAGTTGATAAGTAATGAAAAAACGTGTAACTTTACCACTGTAGCATTTCACTAAATTCAATAACAGAAATAGCAATACTGTTTACTACTTAATATCCAATGTGTGGATGTATATAAAACTTAAAAGAAAAATTAAATATATTGAAACTATACAAAACAGGTTTTCATTAAAATCACTGTATTTGGTTGAATCAATAGGTATTCTTAACAGTCTTTGTCATTAAGGCCTTCAATAAGAATAATCAAATGAAAATATTAATGTGTGAAAAAATCACAGGCCATCGCAAACCAAGATTTACTTACATCACAGAAAAATTTGGAATTTGAACTATAAGAAGTATACACAGAAATGTGTATATCGCAAAGTGTTTACCACTTATCAGGCCATACATACAACAAAGAAAAAAATCTTGTACCAGAAAACACTTGAATCAGTCCTCACTTTCACCTTACAATGTAACTGGACTTAGAACTTTACTTCCTAAATACACCAGATATTCATGAATGAAAGATTTCATTTTAAACTGAACACCTACTGACTGGTTGTTATAATTTTTGATTTACTGAAATCCAGCAAATTAAATACGTAGCCTGTATAGTTTTAACCCAACTTGGAAAAATAAAAAAATATAAAGTTGATGAATAAAAGCAAAGATAAGAAGAGAAAAAGAAAAAAGGAAAAAAATGACCTTTTCAAGACATTTCAGAAAGAGTTGTGAAAAATTTGCTAATACTGAAATGAAAAATTCATCTTTCCAACAACAGCAGTCACACTGTTGATGTATGTGTAAAAATAAGCCAAACTATATATAGTTATGGGTGCTTGAAAATCTTACTTAAATCTCACAGGCCACATTGATGACTAATGCCACAAGGAATGAAAAGGAAAGAATGGTGATTAAAAATATAGCTGCACACACACGCACGCACGAATGCACACACACACACGTGTAAATACATGTATACTGTACAGTATACATGTGTGTACAGTATATAAATATATATGTATAATACTTAACCCAATGCTGCTGGGGAAAATGAACAAAAAATGAAAATGCTGTGCCTATTTTCTATATTTTTTGTTAAATGTCTGCCCATAGATGGCTCTGCTAGTGCTTAGCCACAAAGGAGTCAATTAGTAGACCTTGTGACCTTACGTGATTTGAAATGGCAGGAAAAATTTATTTTTTACTAGTGCTATGATGGTGTGATTTTTATTATAAACATTATAATTATTATAATATTTGTTTACATTAGTAACAGCAAAATAAGATAACGTAAAATATTTTCGTAAATCAAAGAAAAGGGTAAACAGATGAGACAGGCAGTACTTGTAACTGGCTCATAGGTGACTTAGTACAAGTGTAGCCATCTATGTGTAAAAACAGTCAAACAAGTAACTCACAGTGGGCATAGCATGTACATACATGTCAGAACCCGTCGGCAATGGGTTAAAGTATATTTAAGTATATTAAAATATCTATGCCTTTCTGTCTATCTACATATCACATATATTTACATAATGATATACTGCACATTTAATTTAAATTAGAATGATTAACCTAGTAACTAAATAAAATACGAATATTAGGCAAAATAACATCACATCTACATATGAAAACACTCTTTATTATATATACAGCTTTATATATGTCATTGCTGATAGCCCTATATATTGCAATCAAATTATATTAATCAGGTACAAAATACATTTGAATAAAATCTGTAAATTCTCTCATGTATGTAAGTGTATCTATGTTTGTATATATATATGATGAAACAACATTAAAGATGTAATTAACAAACATTTATACACACAAGCATTCTAACCATCTAATTATCGAAGGAGGAAGAGCTCGATAATTTTGGGCTACTGCTGCTGTCCGAGGAACTGCTTGCCGTCTTCTTCATGCGCCTTTCAGTGTCCGCTCTGCTACCGTCACTCGACTGCTCCATGTCCTCAACGCGTTCTGACTTGCTCGAGTGCCCACTTTCCCCCGAGACAGAGGCGCGCTTTGCATCATTCTCCGCAGAATCAGACGACGTTTGGTCCTTGCTGGCTGACGTTGCTTCCTCATCCTCTTCTTCCTCTTTGAAAACAGCCTCTTGGGCAGCTGTAAATAAGAGAGGGAAAGAAAGAGGGAAGTTAAAGAAACGCTGACCATGTTTCTATTCTTCATGTGCATTTGTATGTTTGGTGAGGGTACGGCACTGGCCTTTGATCTGCACAGGTTACATCCTTCTAGCTGGCATGG